TTTGTTCCCTCTCGCCGAGTGCTTAATGGTCTCCCTATGTGCTCACCTCTATATTTGCCTGAATAAATCCAGGCAAATACACTTTTTATCCTTCCAGGATAGATGGGATGGAATGATGCTCTTGAATTATCTCAGAAGGTGGATGTGGATTTATATTTGTTCTCCTGTAGCTGCTCATGAGTGGGTATACTGACCATCTCTCTGAGGATCTCCCAATTCCCCTCCTGGGGCTGTTTCCTTTTCCAGTCCTCCTTATATCAGCTCAAAGGGTGTTGTTCAATTGAGAAAGGAAGACAAACAGACCATAGTGTCTTATCCTTGTGCAAAAAGGGGGTTTATTGCTGCCAGTTGCACAGTAGTATACAATTGTAGTCCAGCATAAATGTGCTCTGCCTCTGTTCCTGCAGTGCTGTCTACCTGTGTCTGTATTCAGATCACCGAGCCTCTCCAGTGCAATGTCGTGACGTCAGAGCCCCTCCCCTACGCGTATCGTCACAGGGTCACGTGACTTCATCAGGGGGAATGATTAGATGCCACGACTATGCTAATACTCCTATTTATATCTCTCGGCCGCCTTTTTACTGGAGCCCAATGGGCGCGGCCATTTTCCCAGTGATTTTCTTAAACTCTATGTATGGTGAGTGTTTACACCTGTGTGTCTACTCAAATTATAACGTGATATCTGTCTGCCAGACATTGCTAACTGGGTCAGCTGTGATCTGTCTCTTGCTCTGCAGTTTCTAAACAGTGGCTGTTGGCTATACATTATATTGCTGAAAGTATACCTATTAGGCTAAATTAAAACCATGTTTTATTAATAATACAATATTAAAAATATAAAATTCAAAATTATAAATTTAACCAATAAAATAAAATAAAAAAAAAAATATTTTTTTAAAAATCAAATTATTTGATTTTTAAAAAAATATTTTTTTTTTTTTTTTTTTTTTATTTTATTTTATTGGTTAAATTTATAATTTTGAATTTTATATTTTTAATATTGTATTATTAATAAAACATGGTTTTAATTTAGCCTAATAGGTATACTTTCAGCAATATAATGTATAGCCAACAGCCACTGTTTAGAAACTGCAGAGCAAGAGACAGATCACAGCTGACCCAGTTAGCAATGTCTGGCAGACAGATATCACGTTATAATTTGAGTAGACACACAGGTGTAAACACTCACCATACATAGAGTTTAAGAAAATCACTGGGAAAATGGCCGCGCCCATTGGGCTCCAGTAAAAAGGCGGCCGAGAGATATAAATAGGAGTATTAGCATAGTCGTGGCATCTAATCATTCCCCCTGATGAAGTCACGTGACCCTGTGACGATACGCGTAGGGGAGGGGCTCTGACGTCACGACATTGCACTGGAGAGGCTCGGTGATCTGAATACAGACACAGGTAGACAGCACTGCAGGAACAGAGGCAGAGCACATTTATGCTGGACTACAATTGTATACTACTGTGCAACTGGCAGCAATAAACCCCCTTTTTGCACAAGGATAAGACACTATGGTCTGTTTGTCTTCCTTTCTCAATTGAACAACACCCTTTGAGCTGATATAAGGAAGACTGGAAAAGGAAACAGCCCCAGGAGGGGAATTGGGAGATCCTCAGAGAGATGGTCAGTATACCCACTCATGAGCAGCTACAGGAGAACAAATATAAATCCACATCCACCTTCTGAGATAATTCAAGAGCATCATTCCATCCCATCTATCCTGGAAGGATAAAAAGTGTATTTGCCTGGATTTATTCAGGCAAATATAGAGGTGAGCACATAGGGAGACCATTAAGCACTCGGCGAGAGGGAACAAAGAATCCACCTGCACATTTATTTTGAAAGACTTTTTTTTTTTTTTTTTTTTTTTTTTTTTTTGAATATATCATAAGCACGTGCACATAATATATATGTGTTTGCACAATATAAATATAAGGATCACAGTAGAATAGAGGAGTATTTCTGATTTGTATATCACTGTACTTTAATAGGCACTATCACCTTAGGATTATCAGTTATTAATGTCACTTGCATGAAGATTAATATTCACAATGATGTTTTGAGTCACTAGTAATAATTGTTTGATACATGCAGTATCTTGAAAGCTATTCATTAGCACTTTGAAAGTATAAGATATACATATTGGTACATGGGAGCGCGGCACTATCTATTTTGAAAATATTATATATACACTAGCATATGAGTCAGTGCAAGTGCCAGCGAACCTCACGTGAGAAATAAGGACATCTAAAGTCACATATTGAACACCTCATTTCATAATAGCTCACAAGCATTCACCATTTATATTCATTCAGTTAAATGCTTGCTTACAGCAAATAAATCTTTGCTATAAGCAATCAAATTGTGTAAAAAAAAAAAATACTGATCACTTCCCTAGAGTAGTACAATGTTACTATGATAACATTATACTACTTTGGTCATAGTTTAATATGAAACAAAATCTTAAAAGAAGAGAAAAAAATTTATAAAAAAAATAAATAATATAAAAAATTAAAAAAAAATTATCTTTTTTTTTTCCGTACTGTCACCAGTCAGTGTCCCCGATCACCACCACACCAGTTATATGATGACACTGTACTGCAGTAGTGACAGTATGTTAAAAAAAAAAAGTTGTGAAAATAATTTTTTTAATTTCTTAATTTTCCAAAAAAAATGACAAAAAAATGACAACTTCAAGAAACTTGCCATGCCTCTTCTGAAATATGTTAGACTGTCTGCTTTGCAAAAAGGGGTAATTTGGGGGATATCTGTACTGTTCTGACATTTTTGGGCCTCAAGAAATTAGATTGACTGTCAGTACTTCAGGATTGGTAAATTTTCAGATATATCCCAAAGTTTGTGAACTCTATAACTTTCCTACAAACTAAATAATAAATACTGTTTTGGGTTATTTTCACCAAAGAAATGTAGCAGAATACATCTTGGCCTAAATTTATGAAGAACAAGTAATTGCAAACGTTTATGACAGAAACAAAGAAAAACGTGTAATTTTTGGTCTTTTTTGTTAATTTAGCAAAAAATAAAAACCCCAATGGTGATTAAATACCACCAAAAGAAAGCTCTAGTTGTGTGAACAAAATGATAAATATTGGCCTGGGCAGGAAGGGGGTAAAAGTGCCCGGTATTGAAGTGGTTAATCCCTTGCTCCCCATTGTATTGTCAGGGCCCGGAAATGGTGGGTGGTGTTTACAATATGGTGCCCCTTCTGCCCCCTGTACATTTATTGTCTGGATGGAAAGTAAAGGACACTGCATGCTCAACAAAATTATGCCAGAATTACAGCTGCGCCTACAGCCATGATCCTGGTAAAACCATTACCACCTAAGCCAGTTTACATATGGCTTAAGGCCAAAATGTATGCAAGAAATCTTACTGTTATTACCCATTCATCATGATATACTATTGTTGTTCAAAAAAGTGGAATTTTCAAACTAATGATTCTGGCTATCCTTGTCTGCCCTGGCTGCTAACACCACTCTTGAGGTTCTCAACATCTGCAGAAGCTTGGAACAATGCAGCAATTCTAATAAAGAAGTGTCATTAAGCCTACCTTTGGGGTCCTTAAAAGCAGGTTACACTTTTTTTCACTATCTGGTGGTTTACTGTGCCATAGACTTCATGCCTTTAATTCACCATCAATGGCCTTCAAATGACCTTCTAATATTTTACAGTATTCTATCTGAGCTCAGTGGAACCTCTCACTCTCCTGCTGGTCAGAAACAAAATGTTCCCGGTCAGGATTTTGTGTGCAACATATAGTATTCTCACATCATATGTAGATTGGTGAAATGGGAGAACCCAAATTGGCATTGACATCTGCTGAAATTTTTGGTAAATTGGCATCAGTTGGTTTGGAACTTGAGGATGCTGGCAGAAGGTTGACTGCCTTAACACTGACATTAAGTTGATGTTCTGGAGAGTGCCTGAAGTTGTCATGATTATTGTCAGATGGAGTGTATATATCTTCCTCACAGTTGAATGTTTGGAGCTGTAAAAAAACTGGATAAAATTAAATGTTTTCCTATTCTAGACCATATCAAACAACTGCACAACAAAAATATTGGGATATGCTTCACAATTCCAAACAAATGGGGAAGAAACATTTACAAAGAGCATTTTCGGCAAAGAAACATGAGCCATCTGTGCAGCAAGCATAGAAGGGCATGCAGAAGTATAATGCCAAAAACAGGTATGAACATGCAAAAATAAGGCATGAATGTTCCATAAGTAAGGACAACCATGTGGCACAAGCAAAGACTGAAACAGAAATGATTCCTTGTGTTTCACAAGTAACGAGAAACACGTGCCACAAGTAAAAGATGAAAAAGAAATGATGCAGTGTACCACAAGTAAGGAGAAACATGTGCCACAAGCAAAGCATCAAACTGCATAATTGCAAAGACAAATTAGGCTGTTAAAATGATTAAAAGTACTTTACCATGTGCTCCACAAGATCCAAGATGTTTGGCTTCTCTTCTGCTGAACTCCTCTGCCATCGCTCCCTTCTGCCAAAGCCCTGAGAAGTGTGCACCGGAAAAGAGGTACCGGCCGCTGGATATGACAACATTCAGTAAATTACCACACGGTTTCATGAGTTAAATACCACATATTAAAAAAAAATACTACATTTGGTATTTAGAAGAATTTTTTCGTCAATGGTAAAAAACGTTTTGAAAAATGCTAAGCGTAATTTTACCACAGTTCTTGAAGCAGTAGATACCGCTTTGTGAATGGAGCACTTTGAATCATAAAAGTATAGATTAGGATTTTCAGCAATGCAGAAGTCGCAAAAAGTCATGATCAAATATCATCAGCAGCTGACCAATGACCAAATACTGCATAATATGCACCTTTTCTATTATAAATACTCATACAGTCATCCAATAAATTGAGACAGCTTTCAGCATACATTTGGGGGTTGATTTACTAACACCGGAGAGTACAAAAACTGATGCAGCTTTACATAGATACCAATCAGCTTCCAGTTTTTTTTTCAAAGCTTAATTGAACAAGCTGAAGTTAGAAGCTGATTGGCTACCATGCACAGCCGCACCAGATTTTGCGCTCTCCAGTTTTAGTAAATCACCCCCATAGTGTCTGTTTCTGAACTCCTATACTTCAGTTTATGTCTTTGAATTAGGTTTCACTAACTAATTGTGGACTGGTAACTGTGCCGGTATCTCCAAATAGTCAACAACACCTCAATATCTTTCTATCACCTGCCAACCTGTGAGTGTCTCCAAACAGAATCAATAGAACACTGTGCAATTTATGAAAAGTTTGAAGAATGTGAGAATAATAATGGTTTACGTAAGGGACAGAACAAACCTTATTACAAGCCTTCTTCCCTACCGTGCAGTGGAGTGAGTCAATGTTGCTTTGTAATGCTTTGGTGCTAACTATGGAGAAGCAATGACACTCTCTGGCTGCTCCTCCTAACACAGCACACTGAAATAATTATTTAAAGGTTCAGGAATAACTCACTAATAATAGATTTTAGTTTGACAACTATAGTTAAAAGAAACTTTTCTACATTTTGGTGTTACATAATTTAACCTCTTAACGCTGGTGCCTTCCGGCCCTTTAAGAGTTTCAGAAGCCGGGAGGCGGGCGGGGTTTTAGGGTCATGTGACCGTCATGATTCGTCGTCAAGGCGGTCACATGATCGGAAAAGGTCCCTATCAAAAGTGGAGATCGGGACCTTTCCGTGAGTCACGGACATTTGTGCTGGGAGCGCGCAGGGCGTGCGCTCTCATCACATATGTATTTTCTAATTGCACGCAAATATGTGGCTGCTCGGCATCAAGGCCCAGACACCGAGAGAAGCCGCATATTATCAGGCACTCGGCGTCAAGGGGTTAAATTATAATGGCTCCAAAAGGAAAGGAAAGAGAGATTTCCTTTTAGGTTTATAATTGGCTGTTGGTAGCAGCCTAACTCTCAAATGCACCAATACATTGCTTCGGTATTCACAACCGCTTAGGTAGTTTCTACATTTGTTGAATTAAATTGAATGGTACATCATCAAAACATGGTGAAGGAAGATCAACATAAACCCAACATACCCAAGTATAAGATGACACTAGTAGAAGACAAAAGCAATGGGTGGTAGCAACAGAACTATATTCACCAGATTATAAACTGTCAAAAAAAACTGATTTTAGAACACAAGGCAGAAAGGCACAGAAACACAGAAATAAGCCTCATATTACAGAATACATAATTGTGTGCAGATCAGTGTTTCTTTTTATTTATAGTGAACAGTAAGCACTTTAGCAATCACCTCACTTAAAGATATTGTAAAGATAATTTTTTTAATAACAAACATGCCAAACTTACCTGCTAGTACTCCATCCCCTTGCCCCAGTCCCTTACCCCTGCTGAGTGCACCCAGAGCAAGCTGCTTGTGTGTGCTTGCTCCCAAGTCGCCTCTGTCTGTCTATGAGATACACAAAGCATGGCTCAGCTCCGCTCCCTGCTTCCTCTTCACTGGCTGTGATTGACAGCAGCTATTGTGATGAACGTGGTGCCCGACCCCTGCCTTTCTCACCAACTTGTGACAAAGGACGGAACAATCTCACACCATGCTGTCACTTGCGTAACAATACCACTCTCAGCTGCACCTTGCACAAAGATTTTCCAGCTTGCGGGACCACAATCTAGGTGCCAGCAGCCTGAGAGCGATTGTCACTGGGTTAGGTTAATTAGCAATTAACCCTTCAAACTCCAAACTGCCACCATATAGCTTTGGGCATATCAACCCTTCACAATGTTAGCAAGAAAAAATGTGAACAATAAACGTCTGTAACACACACCGTCACCACAGACAGGTATATTCAGAGGATTATTATATACAGTAGCACACATCACAGGGACAAAGACACAGGGATTCTTTAGTTTGCCTTAACAGCTTTACAGACAATTTTAACACTTTTTAAAATAGGGTATATTAACCCCCCTGGTGGTATTCCCGAGTCTAGCTTGGGGTAAAGTTTCAGTACCACAAGCGGTAACCCCGAGCTACACTCGGTAATACCATGCGGCGCTGCTCTGGGATCCCTCGATCACTTACCTTGTCCTGCGCTCCCACGATGTCCCTCCTGCAGTGTGCCCGGCAATGTAATCCGGTGGATGCCGGCATCTGTCATCTGGGTTCCGTCCCCTGCGAGCGTTGGGACGTATGGGGATGGAACGGCGGGAAATTTGAAAATGACAAAAAGTGACATTCACTAAATACACTAAAATCACATAGTATAACATTACTGTATCAAACCATTTCACATATATTTTTTCACTAGTGCTTTGTCCTGTGCCCTGCCTGCATTTTTACTGTTCTTTCTGCCTGGAAACTGAGAAACGTCCATGATGTCCAAAAAGCGTCCTTTTAGGTCAAAAGCGGTTTTAGACCAGCTAGAGAACAGTGATAGTAAATCAGAACCACTTGCAGAATTGAGTGATAATGATTCATGGGGGAAATTCGTCATCAGACACTGAAAACGATTTTGCGACTTTGCTCAGTGATGTGCGAACTTTGCGCTCATTTTCAAATTTTGGTGTTTTTGGTTTGATTATATTATTGAATTAAATTTAATATTATTATACTATTATTTTTTATGATTATTTATTACATTATAATTTATTATTTCGTGTTTCAAATTGTAACATACTGGGGATGTTTACTAGACTCTTGTTCGGACAGATTTTAGTGAGTTATTCCTAAAAATTACAGGCCTACAATAAAAAAATACATATTTCCATGCAAAAAAATATACTGCTTTGAGCACAGAAATATGGACATAATCAGACCGCTAGGGAGGTTAATCAAAAGGTGAAATGGTACAATTCAAATATTTACAGAAAAGACGTTACAACGAAATAAAGAGAACAATAACACAAGAGAGAAATAAAAAGGAGGTGAAAATGGAGAATACTTGCAAAGTCCTGGCTTTAGCCGAGTTCAATTGTCCAAGCAAATATGGTGCATTGGCTCTCAAGTCTGTTAAGATGTTCCCTGGTTGATGTAAAATGAGAGCTTTCTTAACAGGTCCTGTCAGTCCCTTTTCTGTGATATCAAAGGGGTGTTGACAGAGACTATCTGACCAATAGTCTGGTTTAAGTAATGGGTACTGGGAGGCCACCATGTTTATGACCAATTCCCAAATATAATTTCTTATAGATATTAATATTTCTGTATATCGACCATTTACGCTCTGTTGCCATGCAGATTCTTGTTCAGCATTAATTTAGCTTCGAAATGTATACAGATATGATAGATCTCAGATATCTATTTCTCATAGGAGGGGTGTGGAGGCCTAATCCACTCTGGAACCTCCAAGCATAAGAATATGTGGGTCCAAAATGCTACCCAATAACCGATGAAGGTGGCTATGACTTTATTCTGGCTTGATTGTCATAATTTCAGAAACAATAAAACATGCTGATGTTTTAGAATCTTGGCTCATATGATGTTTTAGAATCTTGGCTCATGAGCTGTCTATCAGCAATGTGTATTGGCTATTTTCTTCTGCTGAGCTATTTACGACTGCATATCTACTAGTTCTCTTAATTGCTCAAGCTTGGGAGGGTGAACGTTTTACTAGAGTCTACAGACTGGAATGGGGGATTGAGCTAATGGAAAAGTCTGTTTGTCTGATCAATGGATTGATAAGAAAGTCCTGGCATCAGTTAACAGTTGTTTATTGTGCCAGAAGGCTTCCTGGAGAATGTAAGGGAACTAATGCTGCTATTCACCACCATGTGTGACAAACTGTCATGGCTGCAATCTGAACAACATGGCATCCTTGCCCTTTCACCCAGCTTTGTGAGGGCTCTGTACGACATTACCATTACAGCTGTGTCTTAGCCAATGAGGAGGCAGAGGCCCAGGAGAGCTTCTGCTCTCGTGCACATCACTGGATCAGGATTGGGCTCAGATGAGTTTAATGGGAGGGAGCTGAATGGTGCTGATACACACTGAAGGTTTTTTACCTTCATGCATAGAATGCCAGCACTTTAATGTTGATACTTGCTATAAGTGTGCACTACAGGTGTACACACTCTAAGCTATATCATAACTATTGATCACCTCATTTATTTGACTGCCTGAAATAAAATATTATTCTCCCTAGTTTATATTTATTTTGTTTCAGACTTTAAGGATGTCCAACAATGAACAATTTACTTTTGCTAAATAAATAAAAAATACTCTTGTCATAGAATATGTACAGAAAATGTTAAGCTAGACTAGGCATGTCAAACTCAAATGAAACAGTGAGCCAATTGAATAGTATACATTTATAAGGAGCAGCTTTATGTTAACTGTGGGCCACACATACTGCATAGGGTCAGGCAGTATGTGTGGCCCTAGGCAGTATTCATAATTGTTTATGAATCATATTCAGTTAGAGTTTACATCTTTGTTAGGAATATTATTTTATACAGTAAATGTTTATTCTACATAAAATCCCTTGACCGCTCACCCTCCACCCTATAGCATATGTACTGCTACAGGGCAGCACAGCTGCCCAAAATCGTGTATATAAACATGATTGGCATTCCCGCTTAGAGGGCTCGCGCATGCCCTACTCATGCCACTATTGGCAGTAGGGGATGTCAATCCCCGGGTCCCGGCCGGCAATTCGCAGCCAGGACCCAGTGATCATCGGCAAAGCTGACAGGGGAGACACCTATGTGTAAACAACACAAGTGTCTCTCCTGTCAGCATAGACATGCTGCTTTGTATCCCTCTGCACAGCAGAGAGATATAAAGCAGCATGTCTCCCAAGTAAAACAGCACAAAATGTAAAACACACACAGCACACTGTTAAACCTTTGATCGCCCCAGATGTTAACTCCTTCCTGCCCAGTGTCATTAGTACAGTGTCAGTACTTTATATTAGCACTGATCACTGTATTAGCGTCACTTGGGATGTCAGTGGCAGTCAGTTCCCACCCAGTGCCAGAATGCCCACTGCAGTCCCGCTATAAGTCGCTGATCACCACCATTACCAGTATAAAAAAAATAAAATTACAGTATATATACCGCCATTTGTAGACGCTGTGGCAAAGTGTCCCAAAGGAACCCTGGGAAAAGTCCTGTTTGGAGTTTATAGACCTCCCAGGTTCCTTACCTATACCCTTAGGGATCTTTGATATGAGATCAAGTGCAGGGCTTACCTCTCGCTCCATGGGGAATTAAACCCACCTGGAACCTGTAGCCAGAGCTCTAGGCCTGGGTTCAGACAAGTCCTGTCTGGAGAGCTGAAAGGTTGATGGAAACTCACTAGCTGTGTATGTTGTGGCTGACAAGTGGTAGGCTTCATCAGTCTGGTAGGTAGAACCTGCATTACTGTGTAGTGAGAGCCGAGACACGGCTAGGTTTTTGTTTTGTTTGATATTTTCCTGCCCTGTTTATTTTGGTTAAACACTGTACAGGACTTTGTATATAGTCTTTTGTAAATAGCACTAATAAACACCTTCACTGTTTGCCACTAATCTCACTGGATTTGGTATCTGTGCCTGAAAGACTGCTTACCCCAGGAAACACACTGTATATCCCGGCTGCCTATCCCCAGCTTACAACACTAAAACTTTCACATAAACCAATTAATATACAGTTATTGGGATTTCTTTTTAGCAAAGAGAAGTAGCAGAATACATTTTGGCTTAAATTTATGAAGAAATTTTAATTTGTAATTTTTTTTATTGGATATGTTTTATAGCAAAAAGTCAAAAATATTGTTTTTCTTTCAAAATTGTCTTTTTTTGTTTATAGCGCAAAAAATTAAAAACGCAGAGGTGATAAAATACCACCGAAAGAAAGCTCTTTTTGTGGGAAAAAAAAATTAATTTATGTACAGTGTTGCATGACTGCGCAATTGTCAGCTAAACTAACTCAGCACCGTATCACAAAAAATGGCCTGGTCAGGGAGGGGGTAAAACCTCTGTAGGGCAAGTGGTTAAAATAACTTGAGGCAAAAAACAAAATCAGTGAGTCAATAAATACATAAATATAACAAGCACTTGGTAGTGGTTGTGGCAAACTTGCTCATCCTTGTTGGAGCGGGGTCCCCCTTTACACTCTCTTTTTCATGTTCTGTCTGTGTATTTGAGGTCTTCCTGGAATCTTTCCTCACATCCCCCTTGCATTCCTGTGAGGCAAACTTTATCTCCTGGCAAATGGTGTGGAACAACCAGGAAGACATGAGAAGTGGAGCCAGCCAGTCTGTGGAGGTGTCACTTTTATCACCCAAAACTATGTAGGCCCACTCATTATCAAACCGACCAGAATAAGTGCACAGTCCTCAGGTCAACTGTATGGTTCATATCACGGGATATGGAGCTGGTAATTTAGTGTAGAGTTTCCCAATGACCACTCCCAAGTCAGAGCCCCCCTCCCTTCCCCTGAGAGGGACCTTTAAGAGAGTGAAAAGTTTTTGACACAGACACAGAGATCTCCGAGGTAACATCGTAACAGAGGAGATCAAAGAACCTTTCTGCTCTGCATCTTGAATTTGCTAAGACCAGGCAAGGCAAGTAACTTACCCTGTAATTTCCTCGCTATTCTATGTTTGCTGTGTCTTTATATACATATATATATATATTTTTGTGACATCTTTGTAACTATTTATTTTGCATCTGTTTGACCGTTAGAAATAAATCTTTCTTTCTGAAAGTGTTAAACTGTTTCTAAGCGCTTACTTGCAATTCACGAATCCCTGCCTTTGAAGAGATGCTACTGTTTGTTATATATCTCTGTATAGCAGGTCCGCGGGCCGTGCTATATAGATCAGTATTTCAATCATTATAGTGTATATTTGGTAACGGGAGTTTCCCAGTCTCCGACAAAAGTGGTGGTGGCAGTAGAGGGTTAGTTGCGTAACTGACCCGACCCAGTAACAAGCGCATTCAGGCTGCAGGCACTGATTGTAGTCCATTAGCTGGGCAATCGCTGTGTAGGGTGCAGCTAGGTGGGGCCTTGTTACGCGCGTCACACCGCGGTTTTGGAACGGCCGGCCCTTCGGTCACGAGTTTGGTGAGAAGGTCTGGGGTCTGACGCTGTGGGCGTGACGTATTACTGTTAGTCGCGCTGTGCGATTGTCGCCTGTTGGTGGCAGAGGCCGCGGGTCGTGACAGTGGTCACCTCTGGGTTTAACCACTTGAACTTCAGAAGGTTTGCCCCATCATGACCAGGGCATTTTTTTTGCTATTCAGCACTGTGCTACTTTAACTGGCAATTGCTT